AATAAGTACAACGGGTGAATGAAATAAAAAGATTGTAACGAAGTTTTCTTGGAAAGTTGCTATTTTTACTACTTGTGCTTTGTCCTCTTATAATTTCGCTGCACGTCAGTTTAAGAAAATTGTTATGACATGGTTTTGTAGAGAATTCAATAAGGAATCTTTTGGAAAAAGATTTGGATCGATAGGATAAAAGCCGGCGGAGTTATATTCAAAATACGGGAGTGCGTTTATTTATGCGCCACCCGTTAGATTTTAACTTGCTTTATAGGCAGAATAAAACTTAATGATTTCCTTATATTCCATATTGATCTCATGTTTTTGCTGTTCTAGTTTGGACGATCTCGAATATCAAGATATTTGAGTAAAATTGATGAAGATCAACAGAATACAACTGTACAATCGGTCGAAAACGAACAACAGTATAGACGACAAACCGAAATCATACCGACACACATAACACAGACGTCGGATATAACAAATACGGGAAGACCGGTAAGTGGACAAAAAGCGTTTGACTTATTTATCTTGCATTTGTTTGCTTCCCAGCAATAGCATTTTCTATAAACAGCATCTTGCTTGTCCTCGCCCACTGTTTATATATGGCTTTCTCCTTTACTTAATCTGTACTAATATTTTGGTTCTTAGAGAATTAGTCTTCTCAAAGGGTGTTACAATTCTAAACATTTATCGGAAAACTTTCACCGTACAATTATGTCGATATTAATATGTTGAACAGAATCATTACTCTATTAAGGCGTCAGTTCTTAATGTCAAATAATTATCTCGCTAATTTTTTTTGTACACATCGCCCTCAAGATCAATACATACATACATATACTCGTATAGATGAACTACTCAGTAGTTTTCACTACTAAGCTTCCTCTAAATTTTTATCGCTTAAATCAATTTATAAAAAAGATTAATTTCTTTGAATTATCTCTCTGTGTTCTTAGTTTACATGTACTAAGAACAACAACGATAGAGATTGTCCATAAACTAGTTGTTGAGATAAATAAATCGAAAATCTTTTGGTCAATAATATAATTGAAAACAAATTTCTTCTTTCTCGTCTTTTAATATGTGATTACAGAATTTTCTTAGTTGCTCACAACATTACGAAGCATATGCAGACTTGTGAACATATACAATGACAACCTGGATATTTTATTTTCAAGTAACGCCATTAATAAGAAGAATATTTGTATGTACTTTGTAGAATGAATTTTACTCTTTTTTCACAAAAAACATTCCTACTTGTCCATCGATTTACGTGAACTACAGAGCATATCTTAAACACCCTTTTCGTATGTTAGAAAAACGACTACAATGTTCTCATTATCACAGTCCTATAGACTCATACTGCTTCTGAAATATTCCACTCTAAGACACATGTTCGTCGTCATTGACAGAAGCACTTGTTTCTCTCTCGATATCGCTGATCCTCATTCAGAGTCGACGAACTGAGCTTTTGGTCACTTTTCATCTGCGGACACACTCATCAAACCTCATTCTTTTCTCTAGTAAAATGCTCAGTGAGACACGCTAGCATTCAGTACAGATCTCAGAATTTAACTTATAAACCTTCTGCAGACTCTTCGCTGGAGCGCATGAAAAGAAATCGCAACTTCCAACTAACAGTCTAGATGAAGAAGAGATAGATCAACATAATGACTCGATTCGAGCAAGGTCAAATAGAGAAGACTCGTTTTACTAGGCACTGGTGGCCCAAAGAGTGTTTAGCTGTAGTAATGATTTTGTTTTTTCTCAACTTCTTGTCCAGGTGTCAAAGGTCTTTTTCAAGTCATCAATATGCGTTACTTCTCGACGGCCCATATATCAACATATATATCAATATTCATTAAACTGTATATGTTGTATTGTCTATTACAATTGTCAAGTAATCGATAGTGCTAATCCAAAAGTTTTTCTAGAAATTTCTACTCCATTTTTCCACTATCACATAGTCTTTTCTAATTAAATTTTGTATCAATTTTTTGGATCATTTTTACATCAATTTTTTTTAGCATATCTCTATTGTTGGAAAAAGGATTTCAAGAGATATGCGCAATATATACTTTCGACAAGTAACGGGAAAAAAGTTCATAAAACTTATTTTATACCAGACTGTACCTATACACTATTAATAGCTTGTATATAAATTAGTGTGAGTAATGGGCTAAATACTTCGGGTAATTTCTTTGCTAAATTAAGCTGGAGGCAGTTTGTAATGCAGATAGTAAATAGCATGGAGAAAACTTTCTATATTGCATGTTTTCGAGATCTGTACTGGAAAAAGTTATTGATCTTTTGGTATAACAGATCGTTGAACGATACTTAAGAGCTCAATGCGCTTGTCATTTGTTATAAATCAGTTATAAATAGTGTGTGACAACAATTAATCTTTATATTGCGTTAAGTAGAACGATAAAGAAGGCGAGAATGAATGAGAATATATTAGGCAATCTCGTATCAATAAAAATGATACAGAATATAGTACGTGCAATGTACTCCGATAGAGAAAAACAATTTTAATCAAAAAAACGATATATTTATGTTCATTTATTACTAATAAGAGTTCTCTATCCATTTTTTTTTCTCCCATACATTCAGCATAAAGTGAATCGATGTACATGTATGTATGTGTATCGATCAAGATCAAACAAAGTATATAGAGAGAAACATAGTAGGATGGATGCTATGCTCTATACAGTCGAAAGTAAAAGTCATATTGAAATGATAAGTGAAATAAGATGTACTTAGTGTAGTATGTAAATGAGCGAGGGAGAAATATGTTTTTATTCGTTTTGATTAGGTCAGTGAATATACTGAACAATCCTCAACAACGACAAGAGCCACCGAAGATAGTGAACGTCGTATTACGGAAATACATACAGCTCCAGCAGCTCGAGTCACCGATCGTATATCACGTTTTGATACTGATGACCAACAACAACAATCTCAAAGAGGAACGTTTTTAACAATGCAAACAATCGATACACGTCGGCAAATGTATGAAGATATAGGAAAACAGACTACACCTTATACATCAATTGATGTAGAAGTAAGAGAAAAACAACCATTACGTTATCATTCACAAACCGGTATGATATCGTCAATTGATTCGGATGTATCTGTGGGTGGTCCATCATCGCCTCCAAAATATCATAGTACACCGAAATCAAAAGTTAACTTAGATTTGTATAAAAATCCGGATGGAAATGAATCCGAAGATGAATTGAGCGAAAGAGAACAGCAACGAACAACAATTGTCACTGGAATAACATCATCGATGAAACAAAGAAATTTAAGAGATATTTCTAGTAGTACACAGGATCAAGCGACAACATTCAATGAAACAAATATGGAAAACTTATTGTCTCATGTCCCCATCAGTAAAGGTAAAGGATTACTAATTGAATTATCACCGCATGTATCCGACACTCAACCCACAAAATCATATTTGAAACCAATCAGCTCTGATAGTGGTATATTTGAATATTCAACAGCGACAAGTATCGGCCGACCATCATCTCAGTTCTTAAGTGATAATGCTGCTAACATCAGAGATAGTGGCATCTATGTCGATCAGACATCAGCAAGTTCAAGATCACGTCGTCTTCATACATCAGATACAGATCTGACAAGTTCTGAATACGGTCAACATCAGCAACAGATCGAAATTGATAAAGGTCTGTCAAAATCCACCTATAGATATGAAACTGATATTTTACAACCAAAGCAACCAGTACGAGCTACAGATGAACAACGAAATGTCCGACGTCATATAAAAGGATCCTTTTCTACATTAGATACTAGTACAACCCCTGGTACATTGTCCGATTATGATAATTTAGCTAATTATCGTTCTGGTTCTACAAACGCAATTACCACTGCACGCATTCCAACGAAACAAGTGCCAATAACAACACAATCTCGTGCAAAACCCGTTATACTAAATGAAATTGAAACCATTGAAACCGAGACGCATGTCCAATTTGAAATGAATCGAACACGAGAAATAAAAGAATCAACGAAAACTGAATTGGCACCCAAAGTTGGATCAAAAACAACTAAAATAACCACCACCAGTACTAACACAACTCGTATACCAGATAGTTTATCGGATGAAACAATGAAAACATCAAAAAGGGTTTTACTTAATGAAAAACCACAATATTATAATGATCAATCAAAAATAAGTAAGTCAAATGAAAACGATTTTATTATTTCAAGAAATTATAAAACTGGTTCTCTTCTCTGTTTTAGGTCGTATTTCTCCTGAAACATATATCTCATCAAGACCGATTACAACTGAAATTCGTCAAACTTATAAAGAAAGTGGCACGCATCGTTTCGGTTTACCAACATCTGAAACTGTTATACATGAAACGCGAAGACATCCATTATCACAATCATCAGAAATTGTTCAAGAACACTCATCGCAACAAGAAGAGCCCGTGAGAATCGAAGAAACATGGTTTAAACCCATTCAGCGAGATCGTTCTCATGATAATTTGGTAACAGTGTCCACATCCGAAAGACAACGTCATTATCCACAACGTTCCGCCGTTCGAACGAGTAGTGCTGGTCCACATTCCATGCAAGTAACAAGCCTCTCATCCGACAGCCAGGTCACATTTGGTAAATACGATAGTAATGAAATAATCGCTATTGTTCGAGTACCAGAAATGAATCAACAGCAAAATCTCACACTACCTACAACTGTTGCTCTTCCTAGCACACAGATCGATCATAACGTCCATACATCCATCCAGTTACAACCAACTATTAGACAAACATCAATGAGTGAACCAGAATTATACACGAGAGTAAGACAAGAAGTAGAACAACAACAATCTTCACCAAAACATCTTCAACAGCAACAATTAGTAACAACAAGTTACATACCAACAGCTGAGAAACAAAATCGCACAACATATGAACATTTACAAACATCGCATCAAAATGATGTAAAACGTGATTTAAGATTTGTGGATCAAGAAACTAAGTCATCAATCATATCCGGAGAGCCAACAAGTGGAAGACGATCAAGAATGGGTAAGGAACCAGAGTCCTTAGAGATTGAATGAGGAAAGTGTAGTGATCCTATCGATTTAACTGACTCATTCTGTTTTTAGGCAGTACAGATTATATCACATTGATTGATTAAATGAAATCTTCTACGTCTTTTTTTCCTATTGCGAGTATTATGTAAGAAAACATACGAAGGCTTTATTCCGCGCATAAAATTTGTTATTTTACTTTGAATCACGTTTTTTCATAGAGAAAGTAGAAGCTTATTTTATAAGCAGAAACCATTTTTTTTAGATATCGCGTTATGTTTAATGATTATGTTTTTTTCGTTATAGCGCATGCTTTTACGGTTTCTTATGCTTCTGTGGCAAAAAACTTTATTTATTTGACTTTTGCTTTTTCTAAATTTGGTTATCTTCTTATTCAACTAACATTGTATGCAAATACGCATATAGCTTGGGAGAATCTAACAACAAATGGAAAACTTCCGATCTGATCATAGAGTTTTGAAATTAGAAAATATTTTTCGAAAAAAAAGTAAAAGGTTCTTACATTTCCATTTTATCTTTCACTTCAACAATGATAAAAAACTAACGGTAAATATAGTGATTTCAAACAATAATCTTCATTCATCTACATTTGCCCGAAACGTTCTCAACAGCGATTACTCAGTAGACATCATTTTGACATTGAGTCTATTTCTTTCTATTTCAGACCCGTACGATATTACAAATGAATATAGTCATATAACTCCTCCATTATCCCCCCCACGTTCATTATCCTATCATTCCACCATACATGAACAACAACAATATCCCACTTCATCTTCCAATCTCCGCCCACATTCCTTACAGAGTCATCATCGGTCAGGTAGTTTAGGAAACTTATTTGGTCAAAATCTTGAGTTTGAAATTGAAATTGAGAAAAGACCTCCAAATCAACCTGAGAGACCAACTGTTGTCAAAATGGATCAGGCAACAAATGCAATCGTGACAACAAGCAAAGACGGTCGAGTATCAGTTCAAAATGTGGTTGCTCGTCCAGGAAATACAGTTGTAATAAACAGTGATTTTCATTCATCTGATCGTTCTCTGAATCGTTCATCTGGCTATTTCTCATCAGATGAATTACGTTCTCAAGGCGTAAACACAAATTATTCAAGTGACGAACAGTCAGGCGCTTCTAATAATCCACCATCATTGTCCACAAATATTCACCAACAAGGACAAAAACAACAGACGCATATCCGTCGTTATAACGCTAAGTCTACACTTACATCAGGAGCAGATAATTACGGAAATTTAACTACAAATATGGCAAGTCGTTTACCATCACACTATCGTTCGAATGTTGACAATGTTGAAAAAATAAATCAAATATTAAATCAGTTTGATAACGGAAGCGGGACAACGTCAGCCTCGACACCTGGTAATACGACAACTGGATTTACTGATGCTATTGCTCAAATAGATGCACTTTATAATAATCTTGATATTGATAATGATCCATTAAATAAAACTGATACAAGAGAACGTTATTTACCTAATCGTCAGGGGACGGCAACAATGAATGAAAATTACAATATAGCAACTTCACCAACACCTAAAATTTCAACATCTACATATGATTTTAATAAATCGAGTAAGGAACAATATGGTCAACGATTGGCTCAACCAAATCACGTTGACTTAACTGAAAAACGATCAAATAATTCAAATACAATGAGAAATAGTCCTGATAGTATTGGGCATCAACGATATTCATCAACCGGTTTTCAACACATTCCAAATGAGCATGACACTCTAACTAAAGGGTTAAATAGTATGGTTCCATTAATTCATGCATCATCATCATCATCATCATTAAATGCTCCATTTTCACGTTCATCAAATTCCACACTTCAATATTTAATCGCTCCACCAAGTCATTTGGCATCATCTTCATATAATTCACCTTCTCATATTTATCAACAGAAACAATATCGACATCTTCATAATGAGGATGATAATCAACGTTCATATTCACAAACTGATTTACGTCCATCATCATTTGAATATAAATCACAAAATGAGAATAGTAATAATAATAATAACAATATCAACAGTGAACAATCATTATGGCAATCGAATACATTAAAAACATCTTTAAATAATTCTCTCGTCGTTAATAATCAAACAATAACACCTATATATTCACGATCACTTTCCTCGTCTGGTATTGTCGCTGATCATGGTAGTAGTCCAACAAATTATTATTCATCATCATCAACTTCTCAACCATTTATTTTACAACAAAATCGAACAAATCAACAACAACAACAAGTACACAGAAATAGAACATCTGTTAAAATGGTTAAACAAAAAGATGCAGCAAAAAAACGTGTTTCTCTTGATAATCAAGAGTAAGTAAATAAAATTACAAAAAAAACAGACATCTGGAATTATTATTAAAATATTTGAATTTTATTTAGGATATATAGTGAAGACGAGGATTCAGGTGATTCTCCATTGTCTGATAACGATAGACATCAACATTTCAATGAAATGACCAATACGACCGCATTCAATCATCTTAATAATAATCGACAACAGTAATAGCAACACCATTGAATATGAATTGAATGTTTTAAATATTCAAAAGTAAGCTAGATTTTTGTCAGATTCTTGTCAGTGAAGAATGAATTTTTTCTCTCCTCTGTTTTTCTTTTTGAATGATTTATGTTTTGCTCTTATTTCTTTGCTTTTCTACATGAAGAATATGCAAATATACAACAGTTTAAAAATAAGCTTTCACAGTTTTACCGTCTGTGGATCTATTTTGACTATTCTCGGGAACAATTTTCTTTTTCCTATAATACAGATGAACCACCGCTTTTTCTTATGTTCTTTTGTGTTGTGTTTTTTCTTCTTCTAAAAACAGTAGATAAATTGATTAGTGAACAGGTTGTTCAGATTTCGGAAAAACCAAAGAAAATGTAGACGGAGATTTTTGAGCGTGTAACCACCGTTCTAAATTCTCATAAATCAAATTTTTTCTTTTTGTTTGCCTGTGCAATACGGAAAAGAAATGGGAAACGTTCACAATTATTGTTTAGACTAGTCGATTGAATAATAGGATAAACTATTTTTTCTCGTATGTGATTCGACAGAGCTCATACCTGTTCTCTTTTCGTTACTTTTTTTTTTAATGTTATTTATTGCTTCTTCTTCAAATTTTTTTACTTCATATACAAGTGTGTTTACAATGCTATAACGCGAACACGTAAAATATTAGCAAGAATGTTCTGTTTTTATTGATTTACAAAATTTTTCAGAAAATAAACGACGAGCAGTTTAATTTTTATTTATACATGAAAAGTATATAGATTGTTTTTTGTCCGATTCCATAATAAAATGAATAAATAAATGATTTCAATAAGTTTCTATAACTCTCTTATTTTTTTGTGCTCTTCTGGTTGATCTTTTAATACTTAGATGTTTTTTAATATACATTTTTCTCTTTTTTTTTTTGTATATTGGCTAAATTTTGTTTTTAGCCGCAGAACTAGTTTCGACATTTGTTGCTTGTTTCTGTTTTTTCATATCTTTAACACGACTATACATCGATCAAGATGCATTATGTACTTCTTTTATCATTTTATTTAATTATTTTTTAATAAAAACATACAACATTTATAAAGTAATAACAAAACATTAGTACGACTACTAGAATCAATGGTTACGTCTCAAAAGAGATTCTTCTTAATTAATATATATCATCGAAAACTCATACGCACTTTGAATGTTGCTTATGATATTGTTTGATCTTACAAAGCCAATTAGGACGGATTTGTATCTCTTTTGAGAAGATACTGAATCAATCTGGAACGGAAACAGAGTGAAAGTGAAGGTGAAGGATTCCCGCAGATAAACTTTTTTACCTCTGAAACAGAGCAAAAAAGATCATCATTCATTCATCTTTGATTTGAAAAGCAAAAAGCCTTCATTCCAAAGTCAGTTCTAAGACTTTCTCTCCTTCTCGACACGTCACAGGTCGCAAACGCATAGATTTCAAATCTTTCCGATAGTTGTAAAATTGCACTTGGAGAAGTGAGTGATATTAAGGATGCAGTAATAGCAAAGCGACATCCGAAAAAATATTCGAAAACAAAGCTTTAAGACTTGCCGATCGCACTTTTTACAGATCTTCCAACAAAATCATGTCTTTTCAACTGTTAAATATTCAGCTGTGTAAGACTTTCTTCATCGATCCGTTAAAAGATACGGTAAAATTCAACTTCAAAACTTAGGTGAAGAATTCACCTTAAGTCAAACTTTTTAGCTAAGTGTGTTTCGCAAGCATTACTTAACTTAAGTCACGCCTCGATCTCACTTCACTTTTCACTTAAACTTTTAATTAGAAAATTGTTTAAATTTTGTAACTTCTTTATTTGAAGTCCCTAAACCATCTAACTCACCATAATTAGACTAAACATAGTTTTTCAGAGATTTTGTTCAGAAAATTGCTGTAAAATAATCTGAGTTGTCTAAAATGCGAGTGGTTTTTACTACATGACCTCTGCCAGACTTAAGTTTTTTTAAGAAACTGACCCCCGTTAGTTTATTAGTATATTGTTGAAAAAAACATCTTCTATTGCATTACAAACATAGTTCTGTTCCCTAGTCGAGACTCCCGGCAAACTCCCACGGGACTCCTGTTATGGGGGCTTGCAGGATCCTGCGGGAGTCAGGTGGGACTTTCCAGAGATTTTCAGGACTCCCGTGGGGCTTTGAGGATTCTGAGGACTCGAAAGTCCCACCTGACTCCTGCAGGACCCCGTGACAGGAGCCCTGTGGGAGTTTTGCCGGGAGTCTCGCTCGACTAGGGTTGTCCGACTCCCATGGCCATGAGTGAACAATGAAATAATCTATGATGATACAGTCATTGAGGATATCTGCTCCCATGATATGAACGCTCATCTGCTCTCGCTCGGTTCCTTGACTTTAAGAGCTTATATTTGGGAACACCATCCATGACTTTGAATCCAAAACAACGCTCACACCTCCCTTCGGTCGGTGTTCTCGACGGTACTATCTAACACACGTTATGATTTTTTCTTCGATTTCAACTATCCCATGTGATGAAAATCGCGGAAAAATCGACGATTTTATCGCGATTTACGGACCAATTAATTGTGCGCTTTATCGCGATAAAATCGACCAGTTTGTCGATTTTTTTGCTGACTTATCAGCCAGTAAAACATGAGACTAAAACTTCTATGTCATAGCATACGACCCCTATTATTAAATCGGTTCGAGCTCAACAAATCCCTCATAATAACTATTTTCTCTTTCTCTGAGTTGAAAAATATTAAGTTAAGTAAATAACTGATTTAGCCGTAATTTAGCGTCAATATAACAAAATCGCCGATTAATTGCGATTAACTGGCGATATTTTTGATAATGGTGATAAATCGTGGTTTCTGGAAAAATTACCAATTAAACGCCATTAATCGGCGATTTTTTGTCGAAATCGCGATTAATCGTTAATATTTTGCAAAAAAAAAAAAAAAAATTACGAAGCTTATAAGCTTCGTAATTTAATGTAAATCAAAAAAGTTTTCTCTAGACTCTTCAAAGATCCTCAGAGGTCTAAAAATATTTCTGAATTCAGGACAAGATCCTAGGGGGGCTAGAAGTATTCATAATCGATTCGCCATGTTAGACTATCTATATTCTGTAAGTTTTATTATTCGTAGATGACTTTTCTGTGTTATCAGAACTGACTGATTTCTGGCGACAACTATCGTCAAACTGTAGAAAAACTTACTTCTCTTTTTCTCTGCATCAGTCTTAGCCATCTCTATGAACGTTTTCTCTCACATGGTTAAAAAATAATTCTCTACTTTTCTCGCTTGGGACTGGCTTATCCGCGGAATATCTGATAGCCATTTCTCCGTATTTTGCACACGCACAGACGACCATAAGTCCCTAGGGTACAAGGTAACGCTCGTCTCCACTCGCTCACTGTAAATTCGTGTTCCATATAAACGGGTAACACTTTCACCCACTTATGTGTCACCATCCCTCAAAGTGGGTGATTTCCTTTGTTTATCACTCATCACCCACTTTTGCAGTTGAAAAGTGTTATCCTACTGGATGACCGGTAATCCACTTTTATAGGTGACACTCTCTACAAAAATGGATTACCGGTCACCCAGCAGGATAACACTTTTCAACTGCTAAAGTGGGTGATGAGTGATAAACAAAGGAAATCACCCACTTTGAGGGATGGTGACACATAAGTGGGTGAAAGTGTCACCCGTATTATGGAACACGAATTTACAGTGCTCGGTCCCTTGACTTTAATAACCTGGATCTGCGCTACTGAACGCCCTTTCGTGACTTTTAAATCGAAGACAATGCTCACGCCTCCATTCGGTCAGCGCTCGCTGGGGGCCTAATTAAGCCATCTTCTTGATGTTTTTCTGGAATGTTTTTATGGATGTTCAATCTAAATGGAAAACGCCGCCCAAAAAACTCTTGCAACTTCCACTTTCTTGAAATATATTGCTCTCATCGAAAGTATTTTTTCACCATAGCACAGTAAGTTTGAAATTATGTAATTACAGAAACTAAAAGTGCTTTTATTGCTCTTTTGAATCGGATGTGATGAATTATCTTTCGATCTACTTTTCAATTAGAAATTCGTGAGTTTTTCATTTGTTTTAGAAAAGGAGTTGATGAGGCACTAAACGAACTTTGTTCGTTTGCTAAAACACATTTTCTGAAACAGCATTCAATTCCCTGCAAGGTCACATTAGTTTTAGTTTTTACTGACACGTCTTGAGTCCTAAATAACAAATTTTCTCAATGTCGTGCCTTTCTCATGAGACGTACAGTTTTCTACCAAATCTGACTTTTATAATACGTTTTTTTTTTACTATTAAGCAGTTAAGGAGAAATTTTCTACAGCAGATGGATCAATACAGTTTTGCGCAGACGACATTCTCATCTATGTAATTTTCAAAAAGGGTTTTCCCCTCAGGTTGCAGTGAAAAATTAAAGAAAGAGTACTTTGCAAGAGCATTATAGGCGACGTTTGATATTTATATTTTTTCTCACCCAATTATAAAAAATTTTGTTTTCTATGTTCTTTGAAGTTCAAACTTTGCTATTTCTAACGGAAAAACACATCAGGAACACGCAGAAATAATGCTCGACATTTTTTCCATTTCTTTTGCATCGTATAATATGTTGAAATCTTTTTAAAAAAAAGAAATCTCTTTTTTATTATGTTCTTAGATAATAATAAGTTCAATAAAGAGTTAAAACAGCTAATTGTATCGGAGCGCTTACTGTTTTGAATTTTATCAGTAATAAATCTTTAGCTTTTTGAATGACCAACTGATATTTTCTGTATAATAGGGAACCATATCACAAAAAAACTTTTCTCAAAGTCAAAATTTGGACTTAAGTCTTCATTATGCGCACTTACGTGCTAATTTTATACACTTAAGTCAGACTTAAATTTTTTCGTGATACGACTCCCAGTAGATTTATTTTTCTTTTGTGTCATATTATTTCTTGTTGTTTTGCGCACATCTGTACTATCTAGCAGTTAACTGGTATCATCAACCCGATTGCACAGCTTCAATCATTGTACAGCACATACATTAGAAATATTGAATTTAGTTTTACAATTTGCTACATAAAAAAGTTTACGTGTCCGAGTTCATATTCATACAAAAACAGATTTTGTGTTTTTCTAGTTTCTAGAATATATTAGGTTTTATTTATGCTTGTATAATGGAAGAATAAGTCTTAAAAATCAAAACACTGGGAAAGATTATTTAATCTCAATGAAAACCGATGCATAGTACAGAAATGCTCATTGTCTTCGGTAAAATTTTACTCGACCACAATCATTTTTGAACGCGTTGCTAAGAGGTCTAAGTTGCAGTTAAATAGAGTATCTACATAAACAAGTCTTGTTCACATAAGCAGAATGCATGATCGCTCTTTGTTTATTCTTTATAATAGATCGAAGGAATAGTTTAAGAATGTTTATTCAATAAATATAGCATTTTTTAACAACAAGAAGATGTTTGTTTTTCAGTTAGTTATTTTTTCGACTAATTAATTTTATTTTGAAAGTGACCAAATAAAAATTACGATAAGAAACCGTATAAAAAAAATAAAAAACGAAAACTGATATTCTATAACAATACGCATTTCCGAAAAAACTCGGTTTGAAAAGCGATAAATGCTTTTCATGTATAAACATCGTAATCTTTTGATAAATCGTTTTCACACAATGTCGTTACAGAACTTCTATAGTTTTTTTTCCGGTACAAAACACACATGGCGCCACCAAAATTTACCGATATGAACAAACAAGTGACGGATATATTCAATAAAGGATATTGTAAGTCGTTTAATATTAGTTTTGTTTTTCGTCATCTGGTTTATATTTTATTTTTTTTTCTAGTTTTTAATTTATTCAAACTTGATCTTAAGTCCAAAACACAAAATGGCGTCATGTTCAATGTAGCCGGTGAACATAGTACAGAAACAACTCGAACATTTGGAACTTTAGAAACAAAATATGTTCTGAAAGAATATGGTAATACTATAATTGTTTTTTCCTCTTACGGAATAAATTCACAAGTCAAAAGTATGGTCTTTTTATCTCAAACTAAGATAAATTTTACAAACAGCCAAATTACTATATAATAAAAATATTTTGTAAACAGTTTTTGAAGTGAAAACAATCATCGTTCACAGCGATCACAATCTAATTCAAATTATAACTTATTTCTTTTTGTTTAGGATTAACATTCTTGGAAAAATGGAACACAGAAAATGTTTTAAAATGTGAAATAACAGCTGAAGATCAATTAGCGCAAGGTTTTAAAGTTACATTTGATGCGTCTATGATTCCAAGCACTGGGTGAGAGTAAGCCTGTTTTATTTTGTTTTGTTTGGTTTCTTTGAACAATATACTTTTCTTTCTTAGTTTCATTAATATCTTTCATTTTGCAAAATATTAGTCATGAAACTTTCTCTCCATATTTTGTTTTCAAGCATTAGTCTAGCTGCTTTATTATTCATTGATACTAGTCATGTACAGGAAACTCAATGTTCCATCATGTTCGATCGGTGTTTTACTGCAATTAAAATTTTAGCATGTAGGTAACGATAAAAATACATGTAAACATGATTCATTCTTTCTCATTCTTTTACTATCACTTACTATTCTTCCAGAAACGAGATTAGATAATCAGAATCTTTAACTTATTTAGTCTTACAAATTTTAAATATGATGTAGAGTTTTACCAATGAGAATAAGTAATAACTAATCTTCCAAACCCTTTAAATTTAGGGGATCAAAACATGAATACTAGTGCTTATCTATACTTATCTATACTTTTGAAGCGGATCAATAAATTAAATTTTGATTAACCAAAATAATTCATTTATTTTTTTTTGTAGGATGTAAAACAGAGTTGGGCGAAACGGTCTCGTCTTTCGAAATTTCTCAAAATGAGACTAAGTCCGTGATAGTTTATCGTTCGTTGAACTGCAGTTTCTTGATGACAGGAACTAACTTTCAATTCAAGTTTATTCAGTGGAAACTGTCCTTTGGTTCACGTTGCTGAACTACGAACAGTTCATGTTCATAGGAACAAGACCAATTCTAGTTCCTTCGAACACGAAATACAGCTGCTTTTGAATGAAAAACTGTTGATGCTCTCCTTCTTAATGATCTGTTAGTTTCCTTGCTTTCTCAAAATGTTCGCTGTATGAATACATAATAAACTAACAAATCACTAATATGAGTAATAGTTCCTCATCCAAAACCAACTAGTTCGTATTCGAAGGAACTAGAACTGGTGAATCGTTCCTATAAACATGAACTGTTGGACAGTTCCTAGTTCAGCAACGTGAACTAAAGAACATTTTTCGTTCAATAAACGAGAAAGAAAAGTCGTTCAGAGAGCGATGACGTGAACTGTCGTAGATCTAGATGAGACAAAATGAAACGGATTCTTTAAATTGTTTGACGGTACGAAATTCCTTCTTAGCACATCGTTTTAAAACTAATGACACGTCAAAAACTGATTATAAACTTTTATTTTCTTTTTTTGTATTTTTGATGCGATAAGCATTAAATAGATAGATAAAGATGGAATGACGACAATTTTCTTTACATGAAACGAGACGAAATAGCTTCTAAAACTTAAACGAAAATGTTACGAGACAAGACGAGGCGTTCAAAAAAGCCTCGCTTCGTCCACCTCGGATGTTAAAGTAACTATTTTCCAGCGAAATGTGTGAAAAAGATAGAGGCTTTTATTTTCTAAACAAAAACAAATAGTATTTTGAATTTTTGGTTGCTTAAATTTTCTTCTAAGTGCCTGTTTTTCTTTTCTGTTCAGGAAAAAAACAGCTGCACTACGTTCGGCATTCCAAGCTGACAAAGCTCATGTTGAAACAAATGTCGATTTTGATACTGATGGACCAATACTGAATGGATCTTTCGTTCTTGGACATATGGGCTGGTTGGCAGGATACCAGTACGTTTATAATACAGCGAGAGCAGCATTGACAAAAAATAATTTCGCTGTTGGATACAAAGCAGATGACTTCACATTATATGCAAATATGAATGATGGCAATGAAGTCGGTGGCAGTGTGTACCAACGAATAAATGATCGTTTGGAAACTGGTTTACAATTAGCATGGACAAGTACATCGAATCAACCACGTTTTGCATTAGCATCTAAATATCAGTTAGATACACAGACAGTCGTGGCAGCTAAAATTAATAATATATGTCAAGTTGGACTATCATTTCAACAAATTCTTAGACCAGGTTAGTCGATGGAAGTGTTGATTGTTTAAACTAAGCTAAAATCGAAGTTAAATCAGTATGAATTTTTTTATTTAAATCAATAGAATAGATTGAGGATGAAAACAATCCGCTCTTTTATCATATATTTTAGGTGTCAAACTGACATTATCCGCATTGTTTGAAGCCAAAAACTTGAATGCTGGTGGACACAAAGTAGGACTTGGTTTGGATATTGACGTTTAACTACACGAGTAAAACAAAAGAAAAACAAGTTCAATTCCTCACTTCTTTTTTTATGTTTTGTGATTTATTATTACAAAATTATTGTTAATTCGATTATTTATAAGTCGTAGCAGAACAAACACTAATAGGATTAAGGATTAATGTTAACTCATAGTCATTAGAAATGGTTCGTTGCTTTTTACAAATCAGTCTTTCTTCTTTTTTCTATCTATTGATATATTCTTGTTTAACAACAACAGCAAGATGATTATACATCTTTGCTAGACTCCTTTTTTACGCTCAACTTTTAGGCAAATAAAAAGTAGCAATTTGTTTATTTGTATTGTGTACAAACGATTTGATTTTCTCTCTTCATCAGGATATATTTTGACCGTGCATCTATATTGATTTGAAGGGATTTTCTGCAATCAGAAAAATCAGTTTTTTCATTTGGAGCTAAGTATATCAGCCGATAGTTTGAAGTATGTACTTTGAGAATACATGTATTCGATGCATTAACAGAAGAAACTCCACAGAAAGGATTTCTGAAGAGTTGTACAAGTTTTATCTGTGATCTTTTCAGAAGAATCTAGAATGTCTGCTGATTGTCTTAAATGATGAGTAAATGTGTAGAAAGCCAATGACGATTTACAAAATACTCATGAGTGCACATGCCGGTGCGCGGTTTTTATAGATAAAAAGCTATACCACCCGAAAAAATGAAATTTGCAACAAGACGTTGGAGACTATAAAACTGGTTCTTTCTCAAAATTCCAAATAAGAAATCTACTTCAAGTCCTACCTTTTTGTTTCATGAAATATAAATTTTATAACACTTTCAGAGAAAAAGGACGGCAAGAGCAAAGTTAAAAACAGGTTGTATTAATTGTTTCCGGTATAAACACAATAGAAGCATGTACTAAAGATCGGATCAGAGGTGATTAACGATGTTGCTCCACGTCAGCCGCCTTTCTACTCATGCGCATGATGATTGTTTATACTATACCTTGTTCACTGAAATGAAATAAAAAATGTCACTTGACTACGACTTAACTTCTGTCTACTGCACATTCCGATGAACTTAATCCCTTTTTTCCTACGTCATAAAAGAGCTCATCAGCAAATTCACATTTTATCCAAACTTTTGTGATATATAGTTGTAGTCATTAAATTTACGTTTTTTGTATGAATTTCATGTCTGAACTTCTACTTTTAGTCATGGGAAAGAAATGTTAAGTTGTGTAATGTAAACATAGCCCTTGTTTATACATTATATTGTTTTTATCATCTCAGTTGTCATCAAGTTGTGTAAAAGCGTAGTTTTACTACTGGTTCATTTATAGTCAAGCTCATTTGTGGATGACGTTGATTTAAGCTTTATTATTAGTGCGATAGACCGAAAAAGAAAAATAAGAGTACAGAAAGACAAAACAAGTAAAAGATCAATAGTAAAGAAAAAAAAGGAGAAAAGTTGAAACAAAAGAAAAAAGAAAAATTGGACAGGGAATGAAAAAGTGAGGATAGCGCTCTGTGTGTTTCGGGGTTGATGTTGCATCGGCATTCTTTGTACAATTCCTTCCCAAAAAACAAAGATTCAAAATGAAATATAATGATAAAAAGAAATAACAATAAAGACAACGGAAGTTGCTAACAGGTGAAAGAGGC